ATATATTTTCTATCATTACCTAATTTAAATTCTTTTATGTACCATTATTGTAATCATATAATTGCCGAAACTGATTGTTAACAAAGTTTCCTTTAAAAAAAAAAAAAAAACATTTCATGTATCAACTGCGATTTGTTTTAGTTACACAAATAGGAATACCAAGACCAAAATTGATTTTGTCGAAAACCAATGATTAAAACAATTATCCATTAAAATAAGTAATAAAAAACTAATCTTATTAAATAAATAGCATATATTGGTATATCTAGTAAGTAGATATATTATGAAATATAAGCAACATCTATTAAATACTAAAAAAAATTACATTTATGAAAAATTATACGTGGCGCTTCCTCCCCAAGTAAGTTGTATCACAGATTGTGACTTAATTACTTGATATTCTTGCAGAAATAACAAGACTACTAAAAACTGATATCAACATTTGTTTTTCAATTATATAATCTATCAACATGGACCTCTTAGTCGATGCATCCAGTTTTTATAATAACATGCTATAATGTGCTCTGTTCTCTTGCATTTTAATCCCGCCTAAGTTAGGTCAGGTATATTTTAACACAAGACAGATGTAGGTAAGTTTTCATTAGACATCCCCAACAGAATTAAAAATGAGTTTTTAGAACGTGAATTTCTGTTTAAGATTCTGAGATAAACGAAAAATATATTGGATTTATCAACTTTACCGATTTAATGTACAGTTTATTACWCTGTGTTTTTCGTATCAAATATTCATAGTCCATATATGGCAGTATAATTACAAAATCTACGCAAGTACAAAATGTTATGTGATGATTATTATTCTTAATCATTACTTATGAATTTGGTCTTATAATAAAAAATCGTGGAGATCACTGATCGAGGAATCAAATTTATAATTTKTTTTTTATCGAATTCACTAGGTAATGCTAACTACATCAAGATTCTATTGGTAAGCTTCTTCAGTCATGTTCACATAGCAAGCTGTCCACAATACGGGCTGAATTCTCACCCTAACAAATGGAGACTTCAACGTGATCGTTCCACTCGTCCCAAAAACGCCGTTTTAACAATCTGAATAATTTTTTCTTATTATTGTAAATATAAAATAATTTATATAATTGGATAATTATTTTGTATCACATAGTAGTCTCATGTAAAATTGTATATTGGATTCTATTAAATTTATAACTTATTAATCTTACTATATATCTGATATTCAAATTTTAAGAAATACAAATCTATATATAAAACCTATAAGTTAAATCATTTAAAATCAGAAAAACTTTTTTTTTTTAAACAAACTAGGTTATGTAATAATTGTAAAATATTCTAATTCTAAATATAATATGGTAATAAAATTAATTTAAAATATTTTCTAAATGTTTAATTTAGATCGATTTCAAGTAATTAATTCAGAATGATATCTCCACTATCCAGAATGCATTGGTTCAATATGTTGCATTTTTATACCCAAAAACACATTTAGAAATCAATTTTTCAACAATTTTAGATTTCAGTTACTCGAGAGGCCCCTATTTTCACTGTAAACATATACGTCAAATAATATGATATTAATTATTATTAACCACTTTAAAGATTGATAACAGATAATATTTTTGGCGAAAACAGTGAAAATAAAAACTTAGAATTATGTTTTATTATTTGTTTGTAGTTCAGTATATTTTAATGTTAGTAAAATTAAAATTTATAATATTTTAGGGTACTAACATCTCATAATTTAAATTAAATCAATTTTCGAAAAATTGAATAATATTTTTATAAGATTAAGTTTTGTATTTATGTGTATTAAAACTAAAAATTATAAAAGTTTTATCATATTATAATAGTATTTTATGTTTAAAATGTATTTATAACGTACATGATGGAATTTATAACACGATGAATAATAATTTAACTATTTCATCCCTAAAATAGTAATTTAGTTCAAAGTATTTCAAATTATTTATTATTTTAATCTTTATAAATTATAAATGCGTCTATTCTATATATATTAAAAATATTATATACTCATATTATATAATCCTGTGTCAGAATATAAATAATTTATGTACATTTTTTAAATTTCCAAATAATTTCAAGACTATATGAAGCTGGTCTAATGTCAAATAAAATAATTAATATCACAATATTACAATAAGAAAAACAAAATCCCAATACCAGTACCTATTTTGCATCGTGTCATATTTGTAAAAATATTTTTTTTTTTTTAATATTATATTTATGTTAATTTTTAAATAATTCTCTAATTGTATTCATTTTATATTTGATATTTAATAGTTACTGAATATTTTAAATAGTATTTAATTTTTTTATAAATCATCATAAACAGAGTAATGCTAGGTACTTATTGTAAACAGAGTCGGATCTGTGTATATGGAAGTCGGGATGCAACTATTAATATTGGAAGCCCTTTAAAATTTGATATTTATAATAATTAGTCATATTATGTCTACATTACAATTTTTTTTTCTAATATTGAAGATGGATTTAAAAAACAATACTTATCAATCAGGTATTTCTAGGCCCAATTAGTTCCTAAAAATGTGTTCCTTTAAATTGAGTCACAAGTATGTAAAACTGAGTCCATAAGTTACAATTTATAATAAACAGTTATTAGTAGTAATTCCATAAAAAATATTTTGCCTGAATATTGTTCAAAATTCTTAATAATTGATTAACTTACAAGGTTGTAAAATCCAGAGCAAAACCTGAGGTGCCTAAAATAACCATGGAATTAAATGCCTGTTGTATTACATCCCCGCAATCCACTAAATCCACTGTTAATTATAAGTGCATTTAAACAATACTAATAATACTAAAAAATTTTCATTAATATCATTGTATAGTTATCGATTCGTCATAATAAATGTTTTGATATAACATAGGTATATTTAAAATAAAGACTTTATCTTAATCAAAATAATCTTAGATAGGTTAATAATAAAGTCTTAGTATATATTGAGTGATAAATTATAAAATAGTTTAAGATAGTAAAAGTCATGATCAATTTCATAAATTTACATTGTGTTCTGAATTGTTATTAATATATAATAATAAATTTAATCATTATTGTTTTTGTTATTTATTTTGTTTTGTTCTAATAACGTTACGTTGCAACGTTACTACTCATGGCATGAAAATTCKCAAATGGAGATGTAAGTATTGCGATAAAATCAAGATTTTATGTAGGTAATATCACAATATTATTTGTTGTAAACGTTATACAATGCAATTATATTAATTTCAGTTGGCACGAAAATAAATATAATATATCATGGATTCTGAATAGTACGTTTTCAAAGGTTAACTTTGAATACTTAATTTAAAATTTATTTAAGTCTCTAATGATCGATTCAGATTTAGTTTTTTTGTAGGCACTTACCTATTTTTATAAGTTACAGAAAAAATTAAACTTCATAACAAATTTGAATAATAAATTATAGGTCATATAAAAATTTAGATAAAACCAAATCAATTAAAACTGTAGTTAGTACCTATAGTCGATAAATTTCATCTTATTAAACAATACAATTCATAAAATATGATAAAAACAATACATGTCTTTTATAGAATTTTTAATATGTCTTTTATCTGTAGACTTTTTAATTAAAAACAATCCATATACTTAAATTCTTCTTAGTACTTATACAAATTATAAATGTTGAAAATCACGACAGTCGGATTAATACATATATAGGTACATATCATAGCAATGATAAAACAATAAATATAATAACCATAACCATAGAGTAGAATTAAATTTTATTATTTAAATCCCCGAAATTAATGTCATACATTTTTATTATAATATCATATAATATATTTTTCATATAACCCATGTTTGTAAAAATCACAATTCAATTAACAAACTTAATAACATAATGTGTATCATATAGGTTATAATATATATTAGAGAGTACCTACTACCAAGACCAACATAATATTATACTTATAATTTATAATTTATTACCTGATTTATTAAACTTTTTTTTATCAATATTGGAAATATACAATCTGCGCCCTAGGATACAATCAGAATACAATTTAATTTAATATAGTAAATTATAACTAATAGTGCATGTAAAATTATAAAATTGTGATTTTTGTTTATTTTGGATGGTAAAAATGTTTTGATACACTACATCAAAGCAAAGATAAAATTTAAAACTGATACTGGTCCAATATACTAAATACAAAACAAATGTTTACTGCATGATTAATGATTATTTGGTCTCTGTGATGTACAGAACTTATTTACATTTTGTTCCTATTCATCGATCATTTTATGTTATTGGCTCATAATTGTTATTATTTTGTCGAATACGACAATATTGTAATTACCTCCTCCTTAAATTATAAATTAAAATCAATGATAGTTATACTTTAAAACAATATTTATTAAAACGTAATAATTTAAAACAATTTAATGCTGTCTAACCAGTTGTCGTGGTTTCAGTTTTGGTTTTCAAATACATGAACCTAATTTATTATTATTATTTTTAGTATCATTATTATTATTTATTATTCAGTGAAAAACTAAAACAAAAATATTATTACATCGATCACAAAATGTGACAACCACAATGTCTAAATTAAAACAATGTTTTTGCATTAAACTCGGTGTCTCGTAAACAAAAAAAAATTGTTGAATAATAGAACTTAGCCAATGCATAAATAGGTCAATTCACCCATGAATTGTTATTATAATTTATAAATTTATTGTTATTCATTATATAAACCAATTTCTCGCACATCGTTTGAAAGATGATTTTATAGTAAGGTAGATCATAATATCATATAATATCAAGTATATCCTTATTATGTTCTTTATTGATACATTTATTAATTATTATGACGCATTAAAACACTCCAGAAATAAGATGTTAAGATATTAAAATTTGGAAGAAGATGAATGTCAGACGATAAGAGACGTATAGGACTAGTATCGACAATTTATTACGTGAAAAGCATTTGATAAGTACCTGTAGTGCGACATAATCTCCGAAACCGATGGTGGTGAGCGTAACAAAGCAATAATAAAAACTATCGAAATAGCTCCATCCTTCGTATTTTGAAAACACGGCCGCACCAGTGGTGATGATGACCGACGAAAGAAGTCCAGTGGCGAACATTAGATTCATTTCCGTAGCTTCTTCCTTTTTACATTTTAAATACTGTTTGGCCCTGTATATGAATAATTAAAAATTTTTATATCATGTTAGTCAAGAACGTTGTTGGATATTGAAATATTGAGTGAAATCATGGTAATAGAATGTCTGTTGCTTCTTTAACTAGGTTATATAGTACGGTATAATAAAATATTTTAATTAGTGAAATACCAATCTTAGTCGTGAAAAATCTTATATCTATGAATATTTAAATTCCATTAAACTATGACTGAGTTTTGATAATACATGATATGGCTAAAAATTCAGTCTAGTAAAGCGTATTCATCATGAAACAATTTTGTATTCAAATACTTACTACAACATAGTTATATTTTTAAATTTTTAATATTTATACCCAAATATTTTCCAGTTCCATATACATAAAACAAAATAGTAAAAATATTTGTGTTTCTAAAAAAACTGTTCCCTATTTCCCTAATAAGAATTTGAAAATATAGTTATGATGATTATTGACTACGTATCATTTGAATGTACGAAGAACAATTTTATATTCGTAATATAGCATTAAAAACATTAAATATTATAAGAATATTTGGTATAAAATATTCAAAAACAAATAATAGGTATATATTTTTAGTTTTTACCATTTTAAATGAATATAAATAAAATATTAATATTAAGTATAAGACTGTGTCTATATTGTAGTCACCGACTATCTATAGTTATGATGCATTAATAAGATAATATAAATGAAATATTTAGGTAAGGATACTCATAATGCATTAAAAAAATTTACTTTTACTTTTTTAGAACTTAATTAAAGTGAATGGAAATACGATTTAAATGGTTAAATACTGAATACAACATTACAACTATGCTATTTTACAATACCAATGTGATATTATAAATCATGGTAAATTGCACATAATAGAAACCAAAATTATTTAAGTGATATGCAATATTTAAAAGAATTGATTTATTGAATAATTGTAATATAATATTTATCATGTACAGTACAATAATATGCTATACCTATTAAATATTGTTAACGATCTAATTCGTGACCTAAAATCCCTATTTTTAACCCAATATATAAATATATTTACTATTTACAGGTTTTAAAACTATATGCATTTAATATATGTTAAAATTGAGTTGTAAAATTAAAAAGTCGTAAAACATATGTTTTTCTTTTCAGTTTAAAAATCTAGTAGAATATTTTACTCACAAAAAACATTATTAGAAACTAATTTGTCAAAATTCAAAATAAAATACTTACATAAAAATTAAATTTTTTAAATTACACATTTATATTATATACCTATACATATTTAAAATATTATATAGATATCAGTACATTAACAAAACTATCAACCATTCAAAATAATAAATATTTTTTGTTTATCGTGAAACAGGAGATCACAAATGCACATAAAAACTATAGATAACTATTAGATTTAGATTTAATAAGTACCATTAATATTCATTTAAAAATAATAATTTATCTACATTTGGTCTATTAGTATATCTAAATCAACTAAGTTCTAAATCATAAATTTCAACGGTAGAAATCTTGGCGTCCGTCAACTAAAACGTAACTATTTTCAACGATATTTTGAACTGTCGTCACAATTATATATTTTAAAGGAAGTTTAAATTGTTATACATTTAAAATTTAGTATTAAAAAAATCGATTTATGTTTTCCGTTTTCCAAAACAAGATCCTTTTGTATAAGCACATCCATAAGATAAAAAATTTCAAAAATCATTTTTAGTGAGAAATTATTATAGTATGGAACGAAGGTAGGTCCTACTGTCAAAACTACAAGTCACTTTTTAATTTAGACTGTAGGTACGTAGATTCAAGTAAGTTCCAAAGATTTATAATTTCAATATAGTTTTTAATTTTTCTATTACTTATCGGTAAGTTGAATTAATATGTTTGCCAAAAACACTACATTATAACTACTTCAAATACTAAAAAAAAGGGAGAAAACATAAAATTGTATGCAAAACAAGTTTTCAACAAAATCTATTTTGTTTTATTAGTACTAATTAAAAAATATAGTTGCGAACTTGTGCAGGATATTCTTAATATAATTTACTAGATTTGATGTAATTAATTTTCAAAATATTATTTTCTTTTTTTATGGTAAACCATACTTGAAAATTTTTACTTTTTAAAATTAATGCATGATATAAATTTTGGTTTTTAGTAACGTACCAATTACATTTGAAAATGTTATACAAGATTCATCATAAGTTTCTTTTAATTAAAACAAATTCAGTGTAAATTTGAATAAATATTTAATTCAGATTTAAATTTTAATAATATCGGATATTTTAAAATTATATAATGTCTTATCCTCTAACAGTTTTTGTTATTTTGTTTTTAACTAAAAAAATATGAACTGTAGTACGTAATATTCCGATATTGCCTACTTAAATTAAAATTGTTAATACCTACACATTAAAATTATGTGGTTATAATCTAAAACGTTATATTTTCATACTTAGTTTATTTTTCAAGAATGCTACTTTAGTCATTTATGTTTCATTTGAGTAATGTGTAATAAAAAATAAATCGGACATAGGTGCAATCTAATTTAAGAAGATATTTTGAGGAATTTCATACAACTTTTTGTGCTAAAATTTGATATTGCCAACCAATAGCATATTTTGACGTGAACAATAAAATTCGTAGCAAACACGATTTATTTCAGCGAAATTTTTTCCTAAACCTGATAAAACGAAATTTCAAAAATAATAACATAAAATAAATATTTTAAATTTTAAGAATAATATATACAATTTCAAAGTACTTCATCTGCAATACATTTAAATGTAAACAATTAATTATTTGTTACTCTGATATTAGCGAACCTTTTTTGGCACAATTTTAAGCGATATTAAAATCACAATAGTTGATAACGTCATATCATATATCACAATATCACCATTTCTTTAGTATGAAAAGATGCATAACTCGGTTTAGATGAAAAAAAATGTAAATAGGAAATAGCACGTTTTGGATTGTAACCAAATAACTAACGATTTTTTTTACGAAATTGAACTCCATATATTATATTAAAGTAAAACACACTAATTCATTAATATGACACAGTAACGTATGATTATTACATTATACCAACTACCTACCTATCTAGTATCATTAGAACATGGATGTAATTTATCAGTTTAGTTTAGGTCCATTACTGATATATTTTATTTTAGAATATTCAACTCTTTACTCGTTTTCCATCAAAATTTTACTTCTAATATAACATTATTGAAACTTAAAAAAATGGGAAATTCTTAAAATGATTTATCACCTCCTAATAACTACGGACGCAAATTTATTTAAACGTTCACCAATACTCTGGAACATAATAAGTCCTAATGGTATGCCCACCATAGCGTATGCCATACAAAATGCTTTGCCACCAATTGTTACTGGTGTTGAGTGACCATAACCTGTGAACAAATAGAATACTTTTAGAAATCATATTATATTATACAATAGATTGTGTTATTATGTAACTCTATAATTTTTTATCAAAATGTTCATTTTGTTAATATTATTTTAATTATTATTATTCATTATTAAATATTACAGTARTAATGTTATTTTTAGAAATTGTAATTTGTATAAGTGATGAAACGAGTTAGTGAATACTCCCTTCTTCTAGTGAATGAGCAAACTTTACGTTTTTATTATTTTAAGAATTGGGAAACAAAAGAATAAAATTAGGAGTCTATATGATTGTCATTAAAAAAAACTTCAAATAATAGTTTTGCTCGAACTGTAAATACGAGTATTTGATAATAATTTGAATTACCGATAGTAATATTATTATATCAATGGTGAAACACACACAGCTGAACGGTTTGGATGACATAGACAAGATAAAGTTGTGTGTAATACCTAACAAATTATATTTTATCTTTGATTTTATATTGATACCTATATACTTAAATTAATTATGTTTATTTTTTTCTATCAAACTATTCACTATTTTATCGTATATTTTACCATAGAATAGTATTTATAAAAATAAAATTTATGTTTGACAATAAATTCAAGTTATATGCTTTAATGAGATTAATTATTACCAGCTTAAATACAATTAATACGCTAATACTAAATAATATATAAAATATACATTAAGCTCAACATAAGCAAAAAAAYATACAACATAAAAATATTTCCGTTTTCATAATTATATTAATATATAGAAATATAAATCGTGGACATTTCTCAGTAAAACTCTATTTGAATGTAACAAAAAAAAAACATGCTGTTGCTTATAAATCCAAGCTTTGCTATTGAATTAGAACTTCCGTTATAAGAAAACACTATTATCTGTTTTTACAATTTTTAACGTAAAACCGTATACCTATCATTGCCAAAACGACTGTGGAGAAATAAAATGCGCCTGCAAATTTCCACTGTGGTCCAGCTTTATGAGGTTTGTTCTCGATGATGGCAACCTCCATCATCCTGTAATCATCTTCGCTTATGCTGTATTTTCTCACCAAAGCTGCTTTTAGTTCTACAATCATCGTTAAATATATATATATATATAGGTAGGTATGTATAACCATGTTAATCATAACTATCAACCAACCGACAACTAATAATATATTATAAAATGTTATGTTACCATCATAATAATTACTCAAATTAATTAGTAATATACCTATAACCTATTTCATCTATTATATTTATTGATGATTGAGTTTTAAATTTTTAATTAATCTATGTTAAATTGTTATTACAATTCAAAAAAAAAAAAAAAATACAATAATTTAAAGGGTAATGACATAACTATTTTAATTTTTAGTCCTCAAGAATTTATAAAAATAAGTAACAGAACTACGTATCTATTAGAATTTTAATAATAAATAAAACTATTTTAAAAACAAAATGGATTGAATCTATAATAATTACTAATCATTTTAAAATATTATATTCGAATTATGATTAAGATCATTGAATATACGAACTACATACCTGCAGTCTATATTTATTTTTATAGAAACGAATACCTACCTAGTAAACTTAAACCTGTTTTGGAAAACTTAAATGGTTCTTTTATTTTAACAAGTTCAAAATTGAACTACAGTTATAACCACAACAAAAGATGTACCTAATTAGGTATTACATTTTAGTAAAAAAATAATAAATTTATCTAAATATCAACTAGATTCATTTTCCTACCAGAAAAGATATTAATATTAAATATCCCAGCATTTTTACTGCATTAAAATATGATAATAGATAAAAAAAAAACACATAATTGTGAAAGCAAAACATTCATTGCTCCATTCAGTCTATTAAAAACTTTGAAAATTGTATCACTACATAATATCATTGATATGCAAAATTATTATATTCTTATGATATAATAAATAATAATTATTATAATTATACCTATATTTTGCAAAATTTAGATCACCATAATGTACAAAAATATATTACTAAATGATTAACTTAAATTATTAATAAAATATTGTTAGTATAATCGAGACTGTCATAGTGTCTTAGCTTATAATAGATATGTGTATGCAATTATCTGCTAGTATATTTGAATTTAAATTTTAAAAATTTCAATTCTGTAAATGATTATACATCTATTCAAAGACGAACATACCTACTAGAAATCGTTTCTAAACCGACAGTAGTGCGACTTTTCCAACTTAAACGAATTTTTTTTGTGTTCAACTTTTTATTTTAACTTTACATCATGTAAAGCCTTCAATCAACTAGTAAATTTAAACTAATAAACAACTGATTTATACCTAAAAGGTGATTCCATCTTTTTCTCTCGGTTTCCGATTCTAATGCATCGAATACTGCTGCGCCTACTAGTAAGTACGTGAATGTGCAAACTACCAGGGACAGCGTGCGCACGTTTTGCCGTTTCATGTTTCTTGTTTATTCGATTCGTGTCACTGAAATAAACACAATCTAATTAAACTCATATATACGTATAGTGTATTAATGTATTATTGTGTGTTTATATGACCGTACACAATAATATTTCAGCTTGATAAATTATATTGTGGTCGAAATGAATATGTTAATATTTGTTTGTAGAGTTGTACGTTTTTCTTTCAATTAAACATTTCATTTAAAAAACAAAAATTATAATAATTATAATAATTACGCATGCGTGAACTGACTAAAATACCTAACAATGTAGTACTTACCTACTATGAGTGTAAGAAATTATTCACGACACGATATATTTATCAAGCTATTTGCAGAGTGCTAATTTTTTTAAATTTCCTTACATTCGTCGCCTACTATAATTTCGTAATGTGCCTACCTACATATTATAATTTATAATATTATGACACATGATTATTAAATTAAACTGGCGTCAGTCTATGGTGAATTCTTCACAAATGATATATGAATATAAATGATATAATAATAATACGGTGTCGTGATTATCCTTTTTTATGAAAATAATTTAACGTGTTATATGTACAATAATAGTACAATATGAAAGATAACGTTTGTCTGAAGAACAGACATATGGTTTTATAATGCATTATATTGTTTTTAATTGTTAAATCTTAAATGTAATAACAAATTCTTTAGATAAATATACACGTTGCCACATATAATACTCTAATGGAATATGTAATCTGAAGTGAGTTAAAATACGATTACGATATGATAAAAATGATAATTTTACGATTAGGCGTGCATTCATGTGGCTATTACATGTTATTATAATAATATAATCCGATATCGCAACTATTGTATCAATAATCGTATGAATAAAGGGAAAAAATATTATGGTAAATTCGGCCGTAACTCTGTGTTAAATATCATGACATCGTTGTATTCCAAATATTCCAAATTATAGAAAACCAATAGATTTCACAACCCATAATATTACATTTACTTATTCTAAAATAGTTTGTACTATATAGTGGTAGAATGAATATATATAAATAAACTGATAATTATTATAATTCGGACCGTTCGTACCGTGCCATCATGCATATTATGCTACGTATTCGTTTAACCATCCATTTTAAATAATTTTAATATTGCACTACCTACAAGAAGTCTGACGAACTAACGAWTTTTTTTCCGGACGGCGCTGCATGAAATTAGTTATGCACATTATCGATATACGAATACGACGGCCCTAATAATTATCTACAAATTTAAGTAAAGTAGTAGAAGAACAAGTAAATGACAAGTAGTCTTGTACATTGCATGTAATAACACATAGTAATATTTTTAGATATACTAATATTGAATTCAAGAATTTGGTGTGAGTATGATATATTATATTTTGTCATTATTAAAAAATCTACACGATAGAATATATTTTTAAAAAATGAATATCAAAATCGTAAAAAACATACAGTAGATTATTGTCAAATAAACATAGATGTGTGTAATTTGAAAATTAAAAAATTAAAAAAAATTATAACYCCCTCCCCCATAAAAATACAAAGAACAGTTTTTATATAGATGTATAGACAAATAATGCTTGGGGTTAAAATAAAATACACTCGTTCTAATCGTGATTCTTGCCTCCAGGCGTACGTTGTAGATGGAATTCAGTTAGATCTTAGATCAGTACAGATGTATCCCAATGCAGCAAATAGAAAGATAATACGATAAAGAGGGCGTAAAAGGTTATTCCGAGGGATAATACGTGTATATCATTTTACTGAGTCAGTTGTCATCTGAAATGTAAAACGGAAATGAAAACGGTATACCAATATCATGAGTTACCTATAACAATGACGAATGGATAGTGCCAACTCTTAAATAGTGCTGTTTTCGTTGATTGAGATTATTGTTCACGACTTTGATAGAAGAACGTGATTGTGCTGCAAAATTTATTTAGTGGAGGAGGTGCTGAGTACTCATACAAAGAATGTGTCAGACACCCACTATATAATTTGAATTCAGTACTGCGTCGTTTTGACTCGTAGCTCTCTGCTCTGATGACCAATTTATACTGAAAAGTAATTTATTTCGTTATAAAAACTTTAAATAAATACTGAACTAGGCTGTCAAAAATGACAATTTTAGTACCTAATTAATTTTTTGAAATAAAATAATATAACTCTATAGACGATAACTAAGTAATGTAACAAATATCGTTGAAATGCTAGAAAATATCCTACGACCATAAAAAACACTAGTTTAAAGAAATTAATTTAAAAATAATATTACGTTCGATTTATTAATTAAAATATGTATTTGCATTTCAACCGCAACAAAAACTATACGCACCGTTCACCACAGATTAGAGGTGCCTCTTAATAAGTTCTGCCCATCCCTTCCACACCCCCNAGCGTGTCGGAAAATCGTCGGTAGCGTCGACGAGGTGAGGTGGAAAATCGTCGTAAGTACGTACGTACATGTATTATGGACGGACGACACGAACAACAACGAGCACTGCGGACAATGGCGACGATATCTGGTCGCGCGGGTTTAATGACACATCTCGCACACACACACACACACACACAAAAACGTGTATTTTAGCAATGCGATGATCAATCGATGTCGAATGTAAGATATTTTACCTATAAATTATAAATACATCATACAGTTTTTCTAATGGTATGAACTAATTAATAGTTTAATACAACTATTTGAAAATCATTAATTAATAGAAAATATTATATAAATAGGCCAAATTCAGATTCTTAACTCTCCGAGTGATGTATGTGCCAGTAAAACAACAGTGAAAAAATCTTAGTTGAGCGCATAGGGTATGAAAATGGTAACCGATGCTTTACTCGTATTATACATATGATGAAAAATTGAAAACATTCTCGACCGCTGGTTATTGAATCGAACACGAAAAACAAAAAGATATTATTCCATATTGTATTAGATGAAATCCGATGACTGAAAAACTAAACATTTCGATATTCCCGCTATAATAATACGATACGACATTGCATTCAACAATTATTTCCCACGAAACGACGATTGAACACAATTTATTATTTGATTGAGCGTGTTGTACATGATATTATTAATTTTGTACATTCGCTCGCCGTCAAATCGCAGGTGTCGATACCGTTCACGGAGCATCATCAGTAACATTTGTGGGCCTAGCACGATTCGTCGGTCGTTTACGTATTATAGCAGATACCTACGCCATGACTCACGGTACAATATATTATTTATTATTAATAATATTATAATGCACGCGCGTTTCGGAAACTTTTTCCGCGGAGAACAAACTCACGATCGATTGCCGTCTCATCCTGCTATTATAACAGCTGAACGCGTCATTTTAAAATACCGTCATATGATTAAGCCAGCTCTACATTTTATATTAGAAAATAATATAAATAGGTTTACTTACATCCGATGCGGTCTCGTCCGTATTGTTTTCCTCGTTTTTGTCGTCGCCGAAAAGCGTTTCCACATAATATTATTACGGCGATATCATATTCGCTGTGTGTCCGTCGGCCGAAGTGTGCCGGTCGACGCCACCATCGCCGTACGAGAGCGCCGCCGCCGGACCGTTTATCGCACCCACCCTGGGTAGGACGGAGAAAATAATCGATTTTCCCGCGCGAAGCTGCGGCGTGCAGTGTCGCCGGCCATGCGACGCGACATATATACCACGAATGTCCCGCCATTCGACTGTAATGATAATAATAATAAGTTATTATCGTGTCGCTCTCACAATATATATGCGACGTCATGTTAAAAACATCGTTACATAATATTAATAAATTATCTGTAGGATTCCACGTGCGTTTCGTTCAAAATTCAAATTGTCGATCCCTGCTTTAACAGTGTGATGTTGTTTAAACTTGTGGATCCCAAATGGCAAAAACAACCAATCGATATGGCATTATACTACTATGGACTTATGGTGTTTACACTAATCACACCTACCTAACTTTCCTACTTGTCGATTGACACTAGAAGTCAAGTGTCCACAAACGCATATTATAATAGCATTAATAAAATAATAACATACTAACGCCACCAATTCGCAAACGACCTTGCCACAGAGACAATGAACACTAACTTAAACCAAACTCAACAGATAATTATTAACAATTTGTTTATAAAAATACACATTTTTGGCTAAATTTTTTACGCATAGGTATATTTTAATTTTCACGTATTTTTTAGTGTTTAAATGTTATGCATATCTAAGACATTTTTTTAGCAAATATTTGGTTGGTTTTTTAATGCATATAAATCCGTGCTATAGCTATAATTTGTACATTATACATTGTAATAATATACGTTGTAAATGTATAATTAATAAACTCTCTTAAAAGTACATTCAAATGCCTTATTATCGTGTTTAACGTATAATATAAGTACCTACATTGTATACCTACCTAAACTTATATTATAAAATAGACTTAAACGTTTTCACACACACACACACACAAAGTATGAATTAGCACGCCATGGAACTTTCTTTAATTCCAACCTGTAGAGTATAAGTATAGCAGGTGTTTAATGTGCATAATATAGTATATGTATATACAGTGACAGCGCTACATATTATGAGGCCCGGGGAAATTTTTATTTGGGGGGGGGGGCTAATTCAGTATTCAGTATTTATACTAATTTTTTTTTTTAATCACTCACAACGTGAAAACCAATATAAATTACTTTTGATTGGTTAGGAAAAAATTTATAATAAAGCATAATTCAAAAGATCAAAATTAAAATAATTAAAATAAATATAAAAAATATAGTTATACAACTGAGTAGTAGGTACTAGTATTAATATATTATTCTAGTAAAAATTAGATAGATCATAAGCAGGCACAACAGATATAATTAAAAATATAATACATATATAATAAACATACTATAATATACAATATATAATATGTATTAAGTATTTAATATACAATATAAAATATAAAATATAATAAAATGTATAAACWAAAATTGACATATAATTTTCAAATTAAAATAATTTTTTTCTTGACTTTTTGGCCGCAAATTCATTTATTATATCATCATAATCTATTGTATCTATCTTATTGATTGTATCCTTTCAATAGATATCATAGACAACCCGGAAAGCTTTTCTTGACTGATCCCATTGCGAAGATAATTTTTTATTTCGAAAAACTTCTTTCTGCACAGGCCGAAGTGACAGGAATGGTTAAAAGTATTCGAAGAGCAACACTAATATTAGGAAATGAACCATTGGAATTTTTAATAATTGAAAGTACTTCGAGAGGAGTTTGATTTTTATTAACAAGAGATCTGAATATTATATTGATAATGCATGTAAATCTATAGCTTCAATATCTTTGGAGTCTCATCCATTTGTCAAACGGTTTTGAAGGTCCATACAATGTTTTAAAATATCTGTATCTGCCATTTCTTTTAACTTCCCTATTCGAAATAAAAATCCAAAGTAATCATTGTAAGATTCTAGTTGTTTAAAGCGGGTTTCCATTGAGCTTATAGCTTGATCAACAATATAAACAAAATATTCTTGTCGAAAAATTGTTTCAGCATCACTACTTCTTTCATCATCCACTTCATAATTGAACATTCTCTTTTTTTTTCTTAAACGAAGAGTTTAAAAAATGGCAAATTACAACAATTTAGTATAGTATTTACAGTATAACAAATAAACAAACATACTAACCTCAACTTCATTTATATCAACTACAGGAGTACTCGAGGAGTCAAGATATTTATTTAATGATCCACGTTGTGTGTTCAAAAATCATATTTTTTTTGTTTTATTGCTCGTTTGAGGTTACCAGACATATATTTTCTCTACTTATTTCTACTGGTCATTGAGTATAGGTTCTTAAAACTCTAATAGGTATATGGTTATTTAATAAGTTATAATCACTAGAAGACTTATTGTGATTAATTKAAATTTCTAAAACATAATATGCAATTTAAAATTATTAATTAATATTGTTCTATATTAATTATTTAGGTAACCAGGTAGGTAATTTTATAATTATTCATAAGTTTTTAACATAATTACAAACAATTATATTTATTTCATATATGAAAATAATTAATATTCACCAATAATTTTAAATATGGATTATGGGTATTAATAAAATAAAATAAGAGAAAAATTACCCTTTGAGTATGCGTGAAGAACTTCTCGGCTTATAATCAAATGTTATTAATTTAACATTTATAAATTATTATGTTAATATAATAATTAATAATATATTATTTCATATTTGATAGATTGTTAAATTAAAAATTATTAATTAATTAAATTATATTAAATTTTAATACATACACTGATACACACTACAGAGTATAAACACGAGGCACGACGGCACAAAGCATAGTACTAGTACAGTACATTAAAATCGCTCAAAACATGTGGCAATATTAGCAATATTGCAATAACATAATATTTTGACGTCCCGACATTTAAGGTTTTTTTTCTATTTTTAGACACGAATGTGTATAATATAACAGACTATAATGTCCTAATATGTGATATTGGTTGTTATCGTTCTGAATGCGACTGCGGTTAATACTTAATAGGTACTTTTATTTCTACACCATCATAATATTTCCAATAATGAATGTTGTATACAACTTATATACTTGAATATACCAACATAAATAAACTTAAACAATAACTAAATTACTTATACCTATWAGAAAAATGTTCTAGCCCTTAATTACGGTATTTTCAAATGTAATAAAATTTAATTACCTATAATTATTACATTTTAATATTGATAGTTAAGGAAATTTTTTTTTTAATTGTGGAGGTGTTTCTCTTAAAACAGTGAAGATATGGGGCCCCACCGAGTATGGGGCACCGGGCAATTGCCCGGAATGCCCCCCTAGCACCGTCACTATGTACAAATAAGTAACTAAATAATGTTGTTACCAGAAATTAAAACAATATGCGTTTATTTTTAATAACTCCAACATATGTTTATGTTACATGCGCTTGATGAAATTATCCATTTCATGAACTGGATAACTTTTCACGAAATGGATACTAAAATTTCATTTGTAATTTTTTCAATAAATGGTCATCCACTTGGTGAAACAAAATATAGTGTAATATTTCACGTAATTTGTAAAACGACAATCCGGAGACAATTATATTATTTTTTATCATATTTAATCTGATATGTTGATATGTATAATCTGCTTTACGACCAGACTTTTATAATTGTATTGATGTAGACACCCGTATTATTCTAGTGTACACGGTTTTTGTTTCAGTACATTATACTTACAATTATGTGGTTATAACATAATAGTATATTATTATAATACATAGCATATAATATATTAATATTATTAAAATAATATCATGTGTGTTTTTTAAAACAGATTTTGACGAAAAACTACATTTTACAAAAAACTGGTTTAAAAAACAGATTTTTATTTTGTAGTGTCAAAAAAATAATATTATATTAGGTTAGGTAATTTAGTAACCTAGGGGGATAATTGCAGTACAAATTCGAGAGAAATATTATTTTTTAAATACTTATTATAATATATACTCGTTAGTCGTTCGCAATGTTCACAGTATGAAAAATCATCTAGTGGCTATCATCTAGAATCGAGTTAAACTTAACATATATTTTTATTTAATTTGTTTTCCAACATAATATTTTAACCTTTATGATAATTAAAACAAGAAAGCGTTAAAAAAAAATAATTCGATCACCTATATAGGCTATCAGTATATAGTATACCTATAATATGTATCAAGATTGGCACGTCATTAAAATATAAAAATGTAAAGAGGTGCAAAAAGATTATTCATACCTATAAATCTTATTTATTATTACAAGTGCACAGTAAATATCATAATTGTGAAACAAGAATAAGTCGTTAATATTTACTTTATTTTTTAATTAATATTATTTCTTTTTTTTAATTACCTAACTGAAATGATTTCAAATAAAAAAATAAATTTAGCTAGTCATATCGATTATTAACAAAAAGTACAAATAATTACTTCGATATATTATATTTCATTAATTATGTATAAGATAATATTTCGTTAGAGATCAATGGCAAAGTTTCTGATGAAATAAATATGATTTTCTATTAATATGCTAATAATAGGTATACAGAATGTAACAGAAAGATATAACAGATTTACATGTAAATCTTACACAAATCTGCCATATCTTTCTGTTACACTCTGTATATTTTTTTAAATGTTGGAGGAATAGTAATAATAAATCTGAAATCATGGTCTAGTTGGTTTAAATCATTAGGTATTTATAAGGTTATGCATGATATTATTGAAAAACTTTCTCAGCAACCTATATAATAATATTTTAAAAGACTTGTTAAAAAATTTAAAAAATAGATATATGATTATTATTATTTAGTACCTAATACAAAAACTAGGGAACTCACTTAAACTGTATAATAAGCTTCGAGATAGTTTATATTATACTATATTATTTTATACTATTATTAGTACCAATAAATCCTTAATTCTGAAGGTTGAACTAATTATCACGGAAACTAATGAATCAATGATATCATAACCTATACGTAGATTGGAGTTATAGATAGAACATTAAATATAACTGTATAAGGAATACGCCCTGTACAAATATAGTGAATTACAGTACGTATATTATGTACTTACCTATAATTAAATGTATGGCAAGCATTATATTATACCAAACTTAATACATGTTATTACTTTTAACAGCACACAGACGTTTTCAATTTTAAGCTTCCTAACCTTTGCGATAAATACCCGATGGAATAAAAGAACAGTCCCTCGTTCAGGTGGTTCTTCACTATCACTGCGTAGTAGTATCCACATACTCGATGTGCGATATTTGTGTGCACTTGTACGCATTACGTTAGTGTCGTTTTTGCAATACAAAATTAATAGATTATAATATTTAGGTTGTAAGTATTATATTATTAGTATACTAGAATCCAGAATTCGATGCATCAAACAACCACTGTCTGAAAAGAAAAGAATTATGATAGATTTTTATAAATCGATAATCAATGTCCGTAAAGTTACCTCTCAATCATTGTCCCCCCAAATTCATATTTAGTCATTCTTCAGTAAGTCATTAGTAAGTATTTTGTAAGCACAAAAAAAAAATGTGTAAGTTAACAATTCCCGATTATCCCTGTAAGTTTTTCCAGCCGGGTCACATCTACATTTTGAAATTGTTTTCCAGCCCTGAATAGTAATATTACACTAATTAGTAAGTGCTTTTTTTTTTTTAAATCAATCAAGTTTTTTTTTTTATTCAATTCATATTTTCTAATTAAATAATATTTCTTATTCAACTCAGAATTTTTTCATTCAATTAATATTTTTAATCAAATTATATTTTTTAATCTGTTGTAAAATTTGCAAAGAAATAGGTATCCAGGTATGGGGTGCTGTCGTTTCCATAGCATCCTCAGTCCTCATCTTTGATTTTGGAATAATTTGAAAACCATTGTGATGTAAACGATTTTATGTGAAGTACAATCAGGTATAAACGAAATACAACTAGAAATTCGAGTGTGGAAGTGCTGGGGAAATGGACATGGTTATAGTACTCAGCCCTTTTTATTTATTGAATAGGTAGATACATATATTCATGGATTTTAAAAATTTAAACCTTGATTCTGAAATTTAATGATATACTATTCAAGAGTGGGAAAACAATTTTAAAATATTGAAGTGACCCGGCTGGCAAACTTTCAGGGATAATTCGAAAGTTGTTAACTTACAAATTCTGATTTTGTGCTTACAAATAATAACAAATAATACTTACTAATGACTTACTAAAAAATGACTAAATATGAATTTGGTGAGACAATATTGGGTAGCTAACTTCACGGACATCAATATTAATAATATTGTTACTCAGTATAACACTTATATAAAAAATTTAAAAATGCTAACTTTATCGAAATTTCGCTTACATAGTTATCGATTTAAAAATTCCGAATTCGATTTTAGATATCAAATAAGTAATGAAACATGGCCAGTCTGTGATAATTTTTAATTAGGTAAATTAAGTTTTAAAATTAATTACAGATTGGTACTAATGTCATGAAGTAAAATTAAATTAAACATGTTTGAACAAATAATATTAGATAACTCAACTCACTATATTATTTTCACTTCTTTATCTATATTTATCTAGACGTAATGGATATTTGTATAACATTTATAAGAAATGATGTATGAATGAATTGTTAAAGTATTTATTGAATCGTTTAAAACTATAAATTTACTATAGGAATCATAAGGTTAAAAAAAAAATTGTATGTATGCCACAAAAAAATAATTTTTAATAAATTTATGATTCATTATAGGTACTCAGTACATTAAATACATAAGTCGTAAATGATTTGAAGCTTTGGTGAAAGTCTTCGATAAAGGTTATGTATCAATACATCTTTTTTATTTTATAGTTTTACTATAATATAACTGTGTCTTCAAGTCAATTCATTATAACGATAATACGATATAATACTGTACCTACATAACACCAGTAGTTACGGAATGGTCTCCGCGTCACAATCATTATAAGAAGAAAATGTCAACTTCGTATCTAACGCACACAATTTACCGAGAACTCAGCAGCGATCTAAAATAAGGGCTGGTTTGTGCCTTTATTTTATTATGATTCGTCCCTAAGTATATAATATATATCACGATGTGTACGTGCTTTCAGTCCTCGATTTCTCTCCTCAGAGACTTCTTGCTTTTGTGTATAAAAGAGGAAATAGTAAAAGCAAATAATATTAACTGTACAAGAGTCTCGTTAGGGAGAATGTAACAAGGAATTATATTATCAACAGTATAAAACTTTTGTCTACTATATGTGATGAACATTTTGTTAAAATTATTCAAGGTAGGCAATAATTAATGAGATGAATTATTATTATTCATAGAATTAATTTAAAAACATAATCCGTCAGCAGATAGATATAAAAATAAAGCTAATTTAAAATTATTGCAATATTTAAATAATAAAAATAAGTTTTTGGCTTCTTTAAATAAATACTATGTAAACAAAAAATTATTTGTAAAGTACAATAAATTCAGATGTGTGTTTTTCTGCACTAGTTGAAAGATTATTTTAATTTACTGGTTTTATGATGTCCCCTACAAGATCTTGTTTATGTGATAGTAATGTTGAAAAGCTTGTACCCTTAAAATGAAATTATAAAATTTAATATAAATATTTTACTATTTTAGATAATATTAAGTTTATAGTTTAATTATGTCGTTTATAATTAAAATTTCATAATTTATTTCAACACTCATAATTTTTATTCTTAATGTTGTACTCATTTCTGCGATCATAATACTTTATATATATAATATAAATTGAACATTACAATAATACGTTTATATTAATTGACTTAATATTAATTACTAATCATTATTAACCATAATAAAAGTATAGGTAATAGGTATGAGGTCTACAGTATACATTTCATAAGATTATAATTGATTCGACGTAAAATAAATAATTATTAAAGTAAAAATGAAATTAATTTTTATTGTTAAAAATGGATACAGTTTTTATTCATAAATTTTTTATTTAATTGTTGATTCTCCAATTGGAAAAAAATTATACTAAACTTGTTATTTTTTACAAGTATTTTAAATAGTTAATTGGAATCTTCTATACATTCTATTGTAGGTACTATAGTCAGAGTAATTTACAACAATACACTACAAACTCACTAGGCCAACTAGAATGATGCTTTATATAATATATATTTATAAAATAATAGCGTTAATTCTATAATTTCTAAATTAATGTGTATCACTGAGAGATTTAAAAATAAAACATACAGAGTAAGTATAAACTGTAAATATATAATATATATAATAAAAGGTTTAAAATAATGAATAATACGATAGTCATAATGATGCTTGGATATCCCGGACTTAACAGTCTGCTATTACCTATTATTGAAACACAAACCAACGGTATAGATCACATACCACACACGTAAGCAGTTATACGAGTAGTTAGTACACGAAACAKCGGTAATTGGGAAATCACCAAATACTTTGTCGTTTAAAAGTCAGCCGTATCCAATATAGTCGAATTCGGACCGAACTATTGAAAGTTCTAATAGATCATGTGCGTAGTAAATGACACTATGGTTGAAATGGCCACTCAGAATACGATAAAATGCACACGACACCATACGGGTGTAAACCCGGCGTAATAATATGTTCGTATGTAAACGGGGTAATATTATTGTAATAAATATTATAGTTAGGTTGGTACATAAACTGCGAATTAAAAAAAAAAAAAGTGATCGGTCGGGTAGAATGTGTAGCACGGATCGAGGTGGAAAAAAATAAAACGGAAAAACATTCAGAGAGAGGAGGGATGGAATTTGAATCGCATGGATCAGATGTCCACGTCCACAGCTATTTCAACTACAAGAACACCGTCAGCTTGACGACGAGCGCGTCACCAGCCGTGTAACGTCTGTACGTCAGCACGTCGTGCCGGAACTCCATGGACGCGCAGACGATTTCGGTGGGCGGCTGGTTCTGCAGGCGGTAGTGTTGTGGGCTGTGGTGCGGCGTCGGCGACGGAGGTGGTGCGGCGTTGCATCGAACGTCGTCCCAGACGCGGGACACGATATCCTCTGGCCCGATGTCCGTCTGGTCGAGCACACTGAGCCGAAGCCTATAGGCGAACGGCCACCTGAGCTGGGCGTCGTACTCGCCGGCGGCCGGCACGGCGGCCACTCGGACGGTCCGGGCCGTCACATCTGAGCGGACGGTCAGCAAGATCCGGTAGCTGCGCGGTGACACATAAAACGGTGGGCTGTGCGCCAGGCCGTCCGCGGCGAACGACAACCGCCAGAACGCGTCCACGCGCCAGTAGTAAACGAACGCGGTGGTCGCGCCCCGTGGCCGATCACTGCCGAATGCGTGGCCATCATCAGTGGTGAACACTGTACCGTTGTACGTACCGATTTCCCGGAGTCTGCCAGTATCTAACGCGTCACTGTCACCGGCTTTGCTAATAATATAAAATTAACAGAATATTAATTTATCGGCGGGTTGTGATTCAATATAGGTGTATTATAATTATAGGTTCTACGACAATTAAGCGAAAGAAAAAGAGCGAACGTAAATGAGCGAATGAAAAAGAGTGAGTACAAAATGAGCGGATAAAAATATGAGCGAAAACATATAGAGCGAAAAAATATATAATATAAACGTTTTCTTCTTTAAATATTTTATACCAGCTATGTACTAATTATGTGAAACTACAGTGAAATATTTTAGGATTCGTAAAATCCACGATAACTATTCGATAAGATTACGTTTATGATAATTTGTCTCATCTGAGTCACTGTGGTCGTACCTAGGTTGATTTTGTCATTTTAGTCGTCCGCCGGAGTTCTTATATTAATGTGTTCGATTTATTGATGTGTATGATGTATGATAATGCTATATATTCAGTCACAACAAGGAAAACTTTTACTACAGTTAAATAGTTTCTTATATCGGAAAGAAAAAATACATAAATATGTCGAATATTGGCGATGTATAGACAAACTAGTATCGTGTATAATTTTTTATTGCAAATATAAATGTATCAATTCAATTTTCAATAAGTCTGACAAATATGAAATATTTTATATTATTATATTTTTTATTATATGTGCAAATAATTCATTTTAATTATATTATAATATTATATTTTTTTCGCTCATTTTGTATTCGCTCTTTTTCATTCACTCATTTGCGTTCGCTCTTTTTCTTTCGCTCAATTGTTGGGATACCAAAAATAATACCAATTTGACTGTCAAATGAACTGTAATTTTTTTCATTAGGTGCATATTTTCTACATCTTTAAACATATACTTTGGACATGTGACATTAAATGGATTAAACTGATAAAGTGACATCACTCTTAATTATATTGTAAAAGAGTATTGCACAAATGTATAAATAATAATGGAAAAAAATGATGTCATGTTACATAATATGAGTTAGTTAGTAGTTTATAATGTAGTTGTTTTAAATTGAAATTCAATTTTAATAGTTTATTTCTATATTATGAATGAGATAAGTATCCAGTATTATCGGCCTCTGTAAAGACTATTACAATATGACAAATAATTATACCTATTTATCGTTATATTATTTTTTTGTTCAATATTTTTTAATGCACCTTATGATTTGTCCTTTTAGCAAAACACGTTCCATGTAAAACAATCGTTGTTTTATATTTTCTGCATCTGCTGTTAATAACGATTCGATGCGGTGCAACCTTGTGTTTGTCTCGTCTGAAATAATAATTTCAATGATAATACATTCATCGACAATTAACTTTAATCGTTAGTTACAAAAGATTTTATGATATAGTACCTATAATATGTTTCATAACTATTGTTGACTATGCACGAACTTTCATCGTATTTATAAAAACATAAAATAAATCTACACAAAAGTACCTATAATTAAAAGTTATAAAAAATTGTAATTCAACTGTTGATCTAAAAACATTATTTAAAATATAATACTGTTTTTATGCTATTAAATACAAAAGATTATTAATAAACTAATAAAATTAAAAATTTTTCTTGTGAAGGTCAGCCTGCACATTAAAGTAAAATATTTAGATATGTAAAGTGTTCGAGGACCTTACATTTAAAATTAAATTATAACCACACATCCTGTCTTGTGATGAATGTCGAAAGAGAATATTTAAATACAGTTTCAATTATAGATATAAGAGAATAGAAATTTTATTTTTTATATAAAATACTGATTACACTGATGCGTGAATATTCGTGTACCTATATGTATGTATATTTTCATTATCTTTTGCGTCAAACATAGCTTGACAGTTAGATTACAGTAATTACTATTTTAATTATATGTGCTCAGCTTTACAATAATATTATTATGATACTTATGATGTTATTTTTCACTGCGTTTTAACCATGCAGGCTAAAGTAATAATTTTTCGAAATATAGTATAAGTAGTGAAAATATTATAGTCATAATTTTAGTTTCAACTTTATCACTGAAAGCAACTACAAAAAAAATATAACTGAAATAGCGTATTATAAAAATAAATATAAGTTATATCATTTAAATTATAATTTAGTCGTCCATATGAAGCAATATCGACGTGCATAGGCTAAACCTCCAACCCAAAGCCCCTAATTTCCGACGTGTTTAATGAATAAATCTTGTGTAGGTTTATAATATATTATCATACTTATGTTGCAAATGCCATGACAAAAACGTGAAAACTTTCCCTCGGCGGTTGCTACAATACGGTCGGTGATGACTTTGCACGACGTGTACTGCACATCGATGGCGCCATCCGACGTGAAGTTTTCCGGAAGTCCATTCAGAAATGAGACGTTCTGTTGGGCTGTGATCAAGGTCATCAATAATAAGCCGACGATAAATCCTACAGCGGCGGCAGTGCTCATCGCGACAAACTGTTTAAATCATACGAACGAGTTACTTAAACGTATTATATATTAAATTATGGATTATAGCGGGTGATAAACCTGTGTATTAATATATAATATGGCTGTTGTGGCGTAACGATTCGGTCGTGTACTGTGTCGGTTAAAATAACCGTTGAGAGTATACTAGCAGTGCTCGTAGTGGATTGCGTCGATTTGGAACTTAACGAGAAACAAAAAAATCTCAGCCAAAACAGTCCATTTCTACTTCGTTACGAGTTCGACACACAAGTGAATATTACTACCTATACGAGCTATATAAGACTATTCATAATTTATTTATTTCTATGTTTAGATAATAATGGATGGTGTGTATACTCGCATATGGCGAAATTTAGGACCTGGTTGAAGATTTTATTTTATATGCGCCACGTCCATCAATATGGTAAAAATAATATACAACACGCGTTATACACTTGTGAGCTGCCGTGTAATATCATAGATCTTAAAGACGGTAGATATAATAATATAATGCCTATAGGCCTAAGGCCGTTCATATACATAATTATAGGCCATCTACACGCATTGCACTTCGAACTTTTAAAATATTAACGAACTGTATTTTCGTGAACACTATATATAGACCACAGAATCGTGTAGAAATAATATCGTATCCCCCTGTTTGTCTCCAGACTAGGAAGAAAAAAAAACCCTTTTTAAGAATACTTACTTCACGTGATATTATGCGTTCGAGTCGTTCGAGACCAAACAGTCATTATGATGTGTTCGCTTGAACTCATGTAGTCGTATTTATTACTAAAACTACGCTACATATGTGCACATAGAATTTAATCAGTGCGTTCAAGAACGTAATAGGTACTGTAACTTTAATTCCAATGGATCTTTTTTAGATTTTTATCCTAATATTATATACTTATTAATAAAATTTATTTGAAGAATATTGCTCACTGCCTGCCAATGTTCTTAAATAATTATAATATTAAATCATTGTGAAAAATATAGCCGTAGACGCATCTAATAGCTATATAATTGGGAAATATCGTGATTACAAATTTCACAATAATTTATTAAACGATCGTATAATATAATACTATTTATTTTATGTTAATGTGCAGTAATCAAATGTTTTAGTACGTCTAAGAAAATTTTCTTAGAGATACAGCCATAAAATGTGATAATAATTAAATAAACGTTTTTATAMAGATAAACCTAGCTACTGTCACACTCGATGCTCGAATATCTGCTGAATATTATAAAACTGTAATCGTTTTGAAGTCTTAGTTTATTTTTTATTTTTGCTGGAAATTATTGCATTTTTCTTTTAAAAACATGGACAGAACCACCATAAATAATTGTAACTATCCATTTTATATAGAAATCAAAATTTATACGAAAACGTGAAATATTGAATTTTTTTAATACAGATATCAATGATGGTTATTTTTCAATTATTAATAACTTAGTCCAAGAGTTTTAAGTATAATTATCATTGATATTAATGAAATATTCGTGCTGCGGTTGACATATTACTATATCTTGTTTCCAACTATTTAAATAGTAAAACTTGGTCATTTTTCCCAGGAAATGGTTTATCGTCGACGACGAAGCAATGTTTGTACTATTATTGTCAATATGTGACTAAATAATATTTATAGTAAATAAAAATGTTTAATACCAAAGGTTAGGTATGAATATTAGATACCATTAAATTATGATGGTAATTCATGACAATTATATGTAAATAGATAACTTATGTAAAAAAAAAAAAAACAATGTATCAAATTATTCATTTTCATGAAACATTTCACTTTTTTAAATTTTAAGTCATTTTCATACACTATTACTTATACCTACTTATGAATTTTTCATAACTTAATTCCTCTGTCGATGACTCAAATTAATTGTGAGGAAAATACTAAGCCGATACGAGTTTTGCATTATATTTTTTCCACCTTTTTACCTACAGGTCTTTGAAATGATTTGGGAATCAGCTATAATAGGAGTCGATTTGTGTTTGTTTTGGGTGAATAGAAAAAGAGCCGACTTTAGAATATAATTCTGTGATACTATATGGTCAAAACTAAGACCTTTCGTAGTGATTGACATCCCCTCCGTAAAAATAAACAAAAATCTGTAAACATTTAATACCAGTCTTAATTTAAGTTTTCCATTCCCATGCACCCGTTGCATTAGATGACACTTATCCTCTTCAAAATGTTACCCTGTAGGATGCTGTATGTGCTCACTCCCCACACTTTGCCATGCACTAATGTTTACCTATATACTGGTATGCCATTAGGGTGCTTCTCTCAATATAGTATTACACACACATCATGAGTCTTAATTATTAGAAGTTTCAARCATACGGAAGAAACGGATTACACAGCTAAAAAGAAACGAGTTTAAAACCTGAACTTAACCCGATAATATTTTCAAATTTGATTAAAGTATAGGAATTGGACCGATTTTCATAACTTCATTTAATAAGCGATTACTAAAATAATATTTCAATAGTATAATACGCTGTGTAAAATTATTTATTTTACACTGAAGACGTCATAATATGACTCAAACCCTGTGCCTACATATATGATAAAATCGATTAAAAGCGATAAAACGCAATTACTAATACATTATCGAAATAATTATTTATGATTTTAGCATTATGTTATAATGATACATATATAAAACATAAGTTAATTATATTACTTATATCTCAAAGTATATTCATTAAGAATATAATATTATTCGGAAAAACAAACATTCATAATTATTCATGCGTTATTGTGCCACTGGTTATTAAAAAAAAAAGGCTTATCAATCATCGTAGTAAGATTTAAAAACATTTTCAAATGAAAAAAATAATTTTAATGTTCACAAATTGTAATAATAATAATGGCTATAGGTACACGTGTGTATATATTACAACTTACAAATAACGTGATTTTATCAATGTACTTATTTATCAAACAAATTCATAATATTATATAATGCCTGTTATGATTTAGATACCATACTACCTATATTATACACAGTATATATTATTATACATATCATTACTTATCAATCAATTCATTAAGCCATCAAACTATTGACCTTTGTACATGTCTATGGACCTTTGCCAATGTTTCAGTTAACATTTCTGAAATAAAACGTTGCGAGTTAAACACTATATTCAACACTGGCGTCGGATTTGAATAAAATAATATTCATTAATATTGATATATAAACGACCAAACAATTATTACAATATTGATGATCACGTAAAGCAAATTAGATACTGGCACGATTATAGGTACCTTTGAATTATAACATAATAATAATAATATTGCAGTAACACTCGTCGATCCTATCTTAATAACAATATATTAATTATTAAACGAGGGTTACGATGAGCAATTAACCGGGACCCGTCTTTTTGCGATAAATTGATCGCTCGAATTCGCATACATTGCATATTATTATTACATGCAAATTAAGTAATAAATAAAACAAAACATTAATAAAAAGATATCTAACCAAATCAAAGTAAATATTCAGCTATTATCGTTTGTTTACCGACTCGTCGGAAAATGTAAATAATAATATTGTTGTACAACACAACGGTTGATGACCTTCCATGCGTATGTACAGTGTCATATATTTTACCTAGAACGACTGTTGTAGAAGTCGTATTTTTAATTTCCTGCGGCAAGAGCGTAGTAAAAGCATAATTTTAGTTTTAAAGAAACTAGCTAGCTGTAGGCGTGGTACGTGAGTGACGTGCAGGATGTGGGGTCGCGGAGAGCAGGCAGAGGTGACTTGATTTAGTTGACTGCAGTACCTAGCTGAAGTTCGAGTGCACAAACCGAATGAATATGACGTCATAAATTCATAATATTGTACGGTACATATAATAATAATATGATTTTCTTAAACACACACAAATATAAATGTGTATATATATATATATATATTATGGCTCGTTTTTTGTTGTTGTAAGAATTCGATAGTCGATAGCATAATTGATGATGGTGATAATATATTGTATACTATGATGAGTTTACAGCCAATAGTTATCATGCCAGTATTACTCAACGTCTCACAATTATCGGATTCTATATTATAATATAATATAATATAAATAAAATCGCATTTATACAAAATACCACGCACACACATACACACACACACACACACACACATGCACACGTTTAAGAACGTAGTGTCGTATGTAATGAATCTATACAATGCGCATACTTAGTTCCACATAGAATAGAGGGCATCAATTCATAATCATTTTCTACCTCAATTTTATCGAAAGATATAATATTATAATATTAAAGCCATATAAGTTTATGTTACCAAACTGTATACATTATATATAATATGTATTATAAATTGCTATTGCAATTTACTGAAACTAAGTTAATGTTTTTATGATATTTATTGTGTTATTTGTATCACACTGTTAATTATTAGTGTTGCGTCTAAACATAAAAATGTGCATAATATACGGGAAAATGTTTTCATCTTGTGCTTTTTGTGATTTTTCACTTGACCATTAAAATTTGATAATATTATGTAACAATTTATTAATAGGCTTTCAAATTTACGTAGAAGCCTCAATCTATGTTGCAATCCACATTGCTTATTTTAATTATTTGAACTGTCGAGGTGATTACAAACCATTAGGCATTAAGTCATAGGTATCGTATAATTTCCTTGAATCAAAATAATTAAAAACATTGAATGCTACGTATGAAGACTGAAGACTGAAGACGCATACATTAATTTACTATCTGCGAATTTTTGAATTTATCAAAATACAAAATAATATCAATAATAAAATAATCATAATAAATAATAATCTGCATTAAATATAATATTATAAATTTAATATTAAAATCAATAAAAGTAGACGCCTTATGGACTATAACTGTTTTTAACAAATATTGTTAACATATATAATATTTTTTTGGAAAAGTATACAAAATTATTATATGAAAACAATAAAACATATAGATTTATACCTACGTAAATACTCCACACTTGGTGAGAGTTCTGAGATGAGTGCAATACATTAATTTAAACAAACGCAATATCGTTCATAACCTATTTTATTTTCGTACAATTTGCTTGGGCACACTTAAGTTCAATCTGGTACTCTTAATTTCTCACAGAACGGGTCTTCGACATAAATGTTCTGTTCGAACAGACAAAACGTCTGTAAAACATTGACGTGCAGTGGTAATTGATCAAGCAATCGTGTGCCTATTTGTAATTGTATTTTATTTTTTCGTGCATGTTGATGCACAATGCACACGCTCTATTCGAAATATAAGGGCATACTGGAGAAAATAGTCAACATAGATTAAAACGTACATAATAATTTTAAATTTATATGCGTTTCAAAATCCAAACACGCTTGTGTTGTTTAGGTAGGTATATATGCATGATGCATCAGGTTTATAACCGAACACTGCACGTGTACCTACTGATATTCATATTTTATACAAACAATAACCAGATTRTATAGTACCGATACACATAGGTGCATAGATACTTATTAATATTTATAAACTGCTTTGTGGGATTCAACTAGAAATTGAGAGGGGGGGGTAAACGAGTTTGGTTTTTGAAAATATTATATTCAATAGCATTACCTATATAGCGGGCAAGTATATATTATCTCGGGAAATTATTTTCTATATTTTCTAGGTATTTTACAGGCCAAACACGCGACTGTAAATGGCGGATAGTCGAAAAATATTTTACATCAGTGATCAGTATTCCACATATTATAATATATTATTGATATTTTTTATTACAATATTATTATATATTACCTCGTTAATTAGTTGACCTAACGTTTTGGAACGACGACCGGTTTAGCCTATGAATTTACACCGCAACTGCGTGATGTTTGACTTACATATTATTATATTTATATTATATTATTAGTTATAATTATCATAGTGTGGATCACGGTTCCAAAGATACAGGGTCACTTTTTAGTTTCATTTTGTACGTGAGCGCGTGGACTAAGGTGTGGGTGTCTAGTGTCTACCATCATAACACCATAATACAGCAGTCTGCATGGATACTTTTACCACAGTCACATAATATTATGTTCATAAATATTAAATTTAAAAGTTTTTCGTACAAAATGACTGCAGACATGCAGTATAAAAATTGGATAAATGGGTTACATGTGGGTTCTGCTTTACATTAAATATTTTAATATTTAGGTGTCAAAAGAGTCACACTGTAATGGATATGTTAAATTTGAAATAAATGATATAAAATACAATTTTTGATTACAGAATGAATTACTTACGTCGAACTTTGTTTTAAATTTTCAATTCTTAGCCAAAAAACTTGAACATTCTATACATTTTTAACTGCAAAATAATTTGTAGGTTTTCGATTAAATCGAATATACCAAAATTACGTTATTTAACATTTTTATAAATGTTATAAACATTTTAACTTTAAATACGAGTAAAAAATATTTGATTATACATTTTTAATACTTTTAAACTAATATTGTAACAATATGTGAATAGCATTAAAGTTTAAAGTTGTTTTTTCAAACTAATACTATTTTACTGACATTTATCAATTCAAAATGTCCGTAAAGAGCTTAAAGCGATATTTTGAAAATTGCATAAAGATATAAAGTACGGAAAATTATTAAAAAAACGTATACTGTGTAAATTTCAAGTATCTATTACGGTTATTCGTTTTTAAATTACAAAAAAATAAGAAAATCGCTCCATGAGAAATTGACTTATTATCCAATGTAATAATTTCAAAATCAAACGCTCATAAAAAATCTGTGGATTTAAGCTCAAGTTTCTTTTTTCTACTATCAATAACTCATGAGGAACCTGCATGATCTACATTTTAAAATATTTTAATCGAGAAAATTTATTTATATCGACATTCTTATTAAAAAAATAATTATATTATTCGAAAATTTCATATGTCTATAGCTTAACATGAGACTAAATATTTTGAAAATGTAATGGTGTATAGAAGATACCAACATAAATATACATTTTATGTATCTAAATTAACATTTTTTAGAGTTACACCAAAAATCACCATGAATTTTGAGTGAAAGTTTCCATTTTTCCTCAATTTTAGATTCTGAGCGGTGCGAGGAATGTATTGATTTTACCATGATGTGTGTGATTTTTTTTTGATTTTTTTGTGACTGTCATTACGTTTTGGGGCAGTAAAAATGCTTC